TACCGGGTGGAGAATGGTCTGAGCACTCACTTTAAGGGGTTTATATAGGAATGGTTTACATGTAGCATGGGATTGGATGAGGGGGCTAGGGGTGAGGCAGTTCTTTGAAGTTACTGGCTGAACTATAAGCATGAGGTTACTGATGGCTAACGGGATTCAGGGTATCTATAGAGACATAAATTTTTACTCCCTGTGTCCTGCTTTTGCTGAACCCAGGATACATACCTTCAGATTTATTGTTCCAGTCCTACTCTCCTCTGAGGTCAACTTCTGGTCAGTTGAGTCCATTACTCCCCATATCTTGTTTTGACAAGTGCAGGATCCTTGGATTGATTGTCCCAGCCTTATAAGTTCAATTTCTGGTCACTTCTAAAACTGCTGGTCAACAATTACCTTTGGAGGAGGGGACGGGGGAGCCTCTCTCCAGATGGCTACTGATTTTTCCCTTTCACTTGCAGGTTTCTTTTTAGGAAACAGGTGACTTTTGAGAACCTGGCAAGTCCTACACTGCAGAAATCAAACAGGATATAGCAACATCTAAGGTGAGAACGTATTTCCTCTGATGGCCTGCCTCTGTGACTTATCCTCCAGTTTTTCATAGAAGATTTTAGGGCCATGGGGTTTTCCATGGCTCCTCGTTTCTTCTTCTTTTATTTATTTTTTAAATTTTTGAATATTATTTTTTACTTATTTTACATCCTGACCAAAATTTCACCTCCCTCCTCTCCTCTCAATGACACTGTCCCCACCTCCCCTCGCCCCCCTCCCATCCACTCCTCCTGTTTCTATATAGAAAAGGGCAGGCCTCCCACACATGTCAAGGAAACATAGCATATCAACTTGCAGTAAAACTAAGCACTTGCCTTGTATTAAGATTGGTCAAGGCAACCCAGTGTGAGGGGAAAGTCCCAGAAGTCAGCAAAAGAGTCAAGAGACAGCCCTGCTCCCATGGTTAGGAGTCCCATGTCAGGTCCTGAGTAGGGGAGAGAGGATTGAGAAAAATAGAAACAACAGAGACATAAAGGAGAAGACAGAGACACAGGATAGATTCCAGAGGGCTCTCAGTCAATACCACAGCATCTCCGAGTTTATCTCTCATCCCCTTTTTATACAGAAGCAGGGAGGCAAAGAAGACCTCCCCCTCTCAAGGACACCATGGTTCAAGGAACAAACAAGCATAAACACCCCCTTTCTTCTCAAGAAATCTGGTACCCACGCCTCTGGCCAAACATCCTGTTATCCAGGTTTAAGGAGCAAAGACAAGCTTGAACTCTCTGACCTTGAGTCAAGATGGAATCAAGGCACAAGCTGGAGTCACTGTGGGTTCCTAAGTCCCCCAAGAAGACCAACCTACACAACTGCCACATATATACAGAGTGTCTAGGTCAGTCCCATGCAGGCTCCCTGGTGGTCTGTTCCGTCTCTGTGAGCCCCTATGAGCTCAGGTTACACTGTGGATTTTCTTGTGATGTCCTTGACGCCTCTGTCTCCTACAGTCCTTCTTCCCTCTCTTCAGCAGGATTCCCTGAGTTCACCCTACTGTTTGAATGTGGGTCTGTGTCTGTTTCTACCTGATGCTGGAAGAAGCCTCTCTGATGACTATTGGGCTAGGCACCAATCTATGAGTATAGCAGAATATCCTTAGGCAGCCTTACATAAAATCTTTGTCCCCAGTCCTGTTTGGTTCTCTCCTAGATCTTTGTGCTATTCAGTCTCTGGGTCCTGGTGCTCCAGGAAGTCTCAGGGGTGGGCTCACTGTGGTAGCTAGGGTCTCAGGCTGGATCTCATTGGATGGCCACTCCCACAATCTCTGGGCTACCCCTACCCTAGCACATCCCATAGGCAGGAGAGACTGTAGATCAAAGATTGTGTGGCTGGGGGTTGATGATTCTATCTCTCCACTGGCAGGCTTGCCTAGTCAGAGGTGATGGCCAGTTCAGGCTATGCATCCACTATTGTTAGGAGTCTTAGCTGGGGTCATCCTTGCAGATTCCTGGGAGTTTCCCTTGTACCTGGTTTCTGCCTGACCCTGAAGTGACCCCCTTTCTAGTAGGCTCACTAGGAATTTGCTCACTGGGGATGATTGCAAGAGTCAAGCCCCAACTTTTCAAGTCTGTGCTCAGTTTCACCCATATTGTGTCAGGAGAATGTATTTTAACTTATCAGAATGTGCATGGCCAATTAGCAAACGAGGTTTTCATTCATGATCCTTGGGGAGTGGGGACACACAAGCAGTTAATCCCAGCATGTCTACCTCTGTATCCACCTTCAAGTCAGTTGACTGCTGTGTCCAGTTACAGCTTCACCCCTCCTGGAACCCCAAGCAATGGTCAGGCCTCCACATTTGGTCTTCAACCTAATTTGGTCATTTCAGTTCCCTGTTCTCTGTGAGGTGATGGCAAATCAGAAGCCAGGGCCTGAGGCAAGACATATGGCAAGCCAGAGAGTCACCTTCGTCAGCAGAAAAGCTTCCCCCTGCAGCTACCTTGACTGCACCTGGAGCTGGTGAGGTTATAATCATCTATCACAGGCGTGCAGGCACAAGGTCATCCTGTCAAAACAAGTGGACGTCAGTGAACATCTGTCCTCAGCTTCCTTCTCCAAAGTCTCTAGGGCAGGGCAGATCAGGGTGAGGACTTTGGTTCTCATCTCCCCCCGACCCCAACTCAGAATATTGGGCTAGGTCTGCCTTGTGCAGAGCAAAAACAAAAGTCTGTAGCTAAGACCTAAGAAGACAGGAGACCATGAGTGAGGAGGATGCTATTAGGAAAGAGAAAAACTGTGAACTGGATTGGTGGGAGCTTTTGGTAATGGAAAAATCTGACCAGGTAGCTGCTTCGAGTGCTGGACTCATCCAGCGTTAGTTCATTAGCTGCTCATTACTCATTCACTGTCTCAGCAACAGGAACCTACTCCAGAGTTTTACTTCAAGATCAGAGCTTGGATGCACTTGTAGTTCATAGCTGAGTCAAGCAACTCCTAATCATCCAAGTATGAGGTGTTCACTGCTAACATTGAAGATAAAACATACTCGTGGAAAGCAAACAAATATTTTGAAAATATGACTCAGAATGTAGACAATACACATTACAATAAACAAATAGGTACAACTGAAGCCATCGGGATTCTGAGGTATTATTCATTTTTAAAGGTAAGTTCAATAGGAAGACAGAGTAAAGAGGACACTCCCTAACTCTCTACCCCCGAGGCTGGTGGAGAAGCCTCTCCATGCAGAAACAACTCCCATCTCAAAGCTGACAAGAGCTAGTTTATTCTGACCTAAATATGAGTGCCCATGCACTTTGACCTCAGATTCAACTTTCCTCAAATTCCATGTTCCAACATTGCCACAAGCCTGTCAAGTTTTTATAATACCAGACCAAAGAAGAGTCGTGAGTCAAAGCATTTTTGAAATACACTGTAGGAAATATGATGGAGGCAGATTACAACAAAGTGGGAAATCTGTTCTCCAGGCCTTAGGTGCTACCTAGTAACACTGTAAGCCCTTAACTTGGTGCAAGACAGTGGTTTGTTAAGTCACTACATTTCCAAATCGCTGATGTGAATTCAGGCAGAGAGCTGGGCAGAGAATGTCTACCATGAGGGCTAAAGATAGCCCAAGATAAAGTGTGGTTGGGTTCTGGATGTCCCATGCTCTCCACAGTCATGGAAATTCTAATCAACATTAGGCTTGCAGAAGGTTCAGAGTAAGCTGCTCTCCTTTCCAGGAACCTGGAATCGATTCCGAGAGAAACTCTACACTCCAGACTTTCTGCTGGTGACAGCATGACGTTCAGAACTATTAATTCTGTGGATTTCTACATAGGTCCCCATTCAGTGACTATGTGAACTACTGACCTGAGGGCAACATGGACATGACTGGTGGTGATGTGGATGCAAGTATATTTAGGCAAGCATGGAGGGATTCTGGTAGAAAAGCAGCCTGGGGTCTCTAAGATGATACACGTGTGACGGTGTTGGGCACAGAGGCTTTTGCTGCCAATCCTCACCTCAACTGGATCCTAGGGAGCCACATGGTATTAAAGAGAAAGGCAACTGCCAGGGGTTTTACTCCGACTTGCACATGTGCACCATGAGAAGCCCACGAAAGTAAACATAGGCATACACACAGACACATACATGCACAGGGTCACAAACATCTAAATAAGTTTTTTTTTTTTTAGTGTGGGGGCCTAGGAGAAACTTTATTTCAGTTTCAGCTATCTGACAAAATTGGGAAATTGAATAAAAGGAGTTTAGGAGATTACACTGGATGAAAAGGTACAGCTATTTAGTACTTGTACCAACGTAACAACCTGTATCGTCCCCACAGAGAGATGGATACATGATGGTGTCAATTCTAACAGATGTGTTCATTTCCAGGGTTATTGTAGTTTGAAATGGATTTCTTTCCGGATTTTAGGTCCAATTTTATATTTTTTCCCAACTTAACATTCTTATTGACTCTTTGTGGATTTCACATCATGTATCTCAATCCCACTCATCTCCCCATCCCTTCCAACCCACCCTCTACCCTTGCAATCCCACCCACGAGTATAAAACAAAATAAGATTTAAAGGAAAAGAAATGAGAAAGAAGCAAAAGGAAAGGAAAATCTCGTCGTAGAAGCTGTAGTGTGACCTATGAGTCACACAGTATACCCTTCAGGTCATATATCATTACTTGCAAGTGAGCATTGCAGTGATTCATTGGTCTGGTTCGAGGCCTCTGGTTTTCACTACACCATAGATACTGTGCTCTCACTGGGGGTCCTCATGGATATCCTGTTGTTAGCCTGTGTCATGGAGATCCTGCAACTTTGGGTCTGCAGGCCTGGCACACGCTCCAGCAGATCACAGATGGGGTGGATGATGGGATGGGCCAACTCATAGTTCTGGTTCAGGGTGTGGATGGTTGCTGGATTGGTGAGCCCACCAACTATCCCTCATCCTCAACACAAGGGTGAGCTTTCCAGCACCACCCCAGCTAGCTTACCCTACCTATGTAGTAAGCAGCAGCAAACGTGGGGCTGTTTCTCCTGCCCCAGTGTCCTCAGGGCCAGCTTGTCCACACCTATGCCACCAGGGCCAGCTCTACTGGGGTTCCAAGGTGAGGTGTAGGGTCCACTCTTCAGGGTGCTGCAGCTGGTGAGAGGTAGGGCCATCTCTTGGTCTCCAAACCACAGGGACAGCTCCCCTTCCTACCAAAGGGTTGCAGAGGATGGGAGGGTTCTCTTCCTTGCCCATGCCACTATATCGTAGATGAGGGTTGGGGCCAGATCTCTCACCCTTACATTCTGGAGGTTGGCACTCCTGCTGTCCATCTGTGTCGTCCCCTTCCCCCCCCCCATCTACAGGGTCAGCTCTACTGTGTTCCCTGGAGAGGTGCAGGGCCCACTCTTTCTAGTGCTGTGTGTGGTGAGGGGCAGGGTCAGTTCTGTCACCTACCACAGGTGGCAAGTTTGAGGGGCAGAGCATCTTTCCCTTGCCCTTACCACCCCATGTCAGATGATGCATGCAAGGCCAGCTCTCCCACTCCCACACCCTCTGGGCAGGCTCACCTGTGTCCCCACCCACTGATCAGCATTACTGTGGTTCCATGTGAGGTGCAGGGTCTGGGCTCCCTAGCTGGGCAGTTGGTGAGGGGCAGGACCAGCCCTTCCACTCTCAGGACTGTGGTGGTACTGTGTTCCCCAAAATATTGTGCACCCTAATAAACTTATCTGGGGTCAGAGACAGAACAGCCACAATATTAAACATAGAAGTTAGGCAGTGGTAGCACATGCCTTTACTCCCAGCATTCTTGAGGTAGAAATCCATGTGTTCAAGGATACAGCCAAGCATGGTGACTCACACCTTTAATCCCAGAAAGCGAGCCTTAAATCCCAGGGAGTGGTGGTAGAAAGCTGAAAGGTATATAAGGTGTGAGGACCAGGAACTAGAAGCATTTGGCTGGTTAAGCTTTTAGACTTCTAGCAGCAGTTCAGCTGAGATTCATTCTGGATGAGGACTGAGAAGCTTCTAGTCTGAGGAAACAGGATCAGCTGAGGAACTGGCAAGGTGAGGTGGCTGTGGCCTGTTCTATCTCTCTGATCTTCCAGCATTCACTCCAATAACTGGCCTCAGGCTTGATTTTATTATTCAGAACTTTTAAAGATTCCTGCTACACAGGACCCAGGATTTAATACGTTTTTAAAAGCAGCTGCAGCCTGGTACGGGAATATCCAGCGGCAAAGCTGAGTGGAAGCACACAGTCCCTCAGAATTTTGAACACTGAAATGTGTGGGTAGAAAATGTCAACAGCCAGGACACTGAAGATGGAATCTAGCAGGTGTCAGTTAAGAGAGTGACCCATGCTGAGCACTAGGAGAATCTTTTGGTTTTGTAACATTCATTATTTTCTATGAGCATTTCATACATGAGTGATTATTCTCATGATTTCAAGCCCACCTACCATCTACCCCTTGCCTCTTCAATGCCTCTTGCTGGCCGCTCACTCCCTCTAAATCTACAGGAACTGGCTAAGTTTCTACATACAGTTGATTGAAGAAACTGAAATCAAGGGGATACACAGCAGCAGGCACAGATCAGAGGCAAGCAAGGAGTTGTAAGAATAATTAAAAGATTCAGCTTTGAAAGGCTCAGCATCAGATAGGATAACGTGAATTCTCAGGCCATAGAAGGACTAGAGGTGCTGCTGCTGCTCAAATTAGGCCATGATATGGGAAAGGAAGGAACACCACCAGTCACAGTCTTTGAAAGTAGTATTTCCCTGATACTCAGACTGCATAAGGAACCATCATCAACAGAAGTAATTTTAAGACCAATGTACTTCATGAGTATGCACAAAATCCTCCTAATAAAAAGAATTTAAGCAAACCTCTTACAATTAAATTCAACGATGCATTCAGTCAGATCCTACACCGTGGCCAAACTGACTTCATTCCAGGGATGCAAGGATGTTCCAATGTTTACATATCAATATCTGTGGAACAGTGCATATGAATTGAAGCTACCCCTTCCAAATTTTGGACAGTCATTCTATTTCCCACCAATCATCATTGTGCTGTTTGTTCTGTGTGCCAGATAGTAGCAAAACAAGCGACCTTTCCCACGCCTGTACAGTCTTTGTCAACACCAGGGGAATCCCCCCATAAGGGTGAAACATTCATGAAAATACTGCGTTACCAGAGTCCTGCTTTTTCTGTGCCCTGTGTCGCCTGAGTCTCCAGCCACCCCTGCTGCTTAAGTTGGTATATAGCACCCTGAAGTCAGGCTTATTATTATGTACATTTGCTATAGATTTAGAGTCATATGAAATAGGAACTTGGTAAGCTGAGGGTGGTTGGTTGGAGGCTGGGGGACGACTTTCAGGAAAGCACAGCTATCTGTAAGTTCACCCACCACTCTACAAATAACCCCTGAAAAGCAGGTTTTACTCTAGAGATGAGTTCGAGTGAGTCACTCTTTGGACTCTTGGTACTGACTGATCTCAGCGGCAGATATATTTTTAAATCTCCCCCAAATAATACCAATGTAAATAGACTCAAATCAGAAGTCATATGATCATCCTACTAGATGCAGAATAGGACTTGGACAAATTCCAAAGTCCTGAAGTAGGAACATACCTTCACATGAAGAAGGTACCTACAACAGACTTTAGGCCGACATTGTACTGGCTTTGGGAAGGCTGAAAGCATTTCCTCTAAAGTCAGGGATGAGCTTAGGACTCACTCTTATGCAACACAGTGCCTGCTTTTTTACTAGATCAAAGGGTCAAGAGGAAGGAACAAAAGGACTAAAATCAGGAGAGGAAAAAGTCAGATTATCCCTACTGCAAGATCATATGATTCTATATTTGAAACATCCTAAAGATTCCACCTAGAAATGCTTGGGCCTGATAAGCAGTCTGATTAAAAAAAACCAGCATACAAAATAATTCTGTATTCTATATACTAATAATGAATATGCTCAGGAAGATATCAGGAAAAACACCCTGTACAGTGGTCTAAAATAAATAAATTAACAAACAAACAAATAAATAAATAAATAAACATTAAATGAAATAAAACACCTAAGAATAAGCTTTTTTGTTTAATTGATTTTTCATTCTTACATTTTTACTATTTAAAACAATTTTTAAATTTAAATACGTTTTGTGTGGTGTTCTTCTTCTCCCCCAACTACTTCCAGAATCTTTCTCCCTCCCAAGCACACAACTTTAACTTTTTTTCTTCAAAAACACCTAACCAAACAAAAACCAACTGCAACAACAAAACCTCCAAAGAAACAGAACCCAAAAAGAAAAAAACTAAAAACAAAACAAACCACCAAACTGCAACCAAATAAAAAATGAAAGCACACAAAAATCTGTGGAATCCGTTATATGTTGGTCAAATACTCCTGAGCATGAGGACTGCTGGGAGAGGCTGATATACCCAGTGTCACCCCATCATAGAAAACTGATTTTTTTCCTCGGTAAGCAGTAGTAAAATAACAGTTTCCATCCATCCATCCATCCATCCATCCATCCATCCATCCATCCATCCATCCATTCATTTAAAAATGTAACAAAATAAAATAAAAAGACAAAAAAACCTGTCACATTAAAGCTGGACAAGACAAACCTACAGAAGGAAAAGAGGCCAAGAGAAGGCACAAGAAGCAGAGACATAGTTCTTCGCCCTCTTAGGAATCCCATAAAATCAGAAGACTTAACATACATGCAGAGGATCTGGTGCACACTCCTGTTCAGGCCTGTGCATGCTGCTTCAGTCTTGGTGAGTTCATATGCGCTTTGCTCAGGTTGATTTAGAGGGCCTTGTTTCCTTAGTGTTCTCCTTCCCCTCTGACTATTGTACTTTCTGCCCCCTCTTTTGCGGGGTTTTGTGGGAGGCCAGCTCCCACCTTCTCCAGGGTTCCCATCAGGAGGAGAGTGGGATAAGACACTTTTAGATAGAAAGACAGCAGCAAAGAGGAGAAAGAGAAACACAGGATAGATTCCGGAGGACTTGGATCAAAACACAATGGTCCCTTCTGCCTCTTCAAATGGGCTTTTTTTTTT